AACTGGAGAAAAGAAGGCAGGAAAAGGAGCTGCTGAACTTAAAGAAGAATGTTGAGGGTCTAAAGCTATAACAATGGAACATTTGGAATAAGGCACTTTCCATTAGGAACTAGGATCTTCAAAGAGACAAAACTTTGCCATTTTTACTGGCAGCTATTGAAAACATAAGCATAAAATATTTGAATTATTTTTATACCAACAAGTTTGTCAACCATCTTGTAAATATTGTCATATTGCTTAATATTATAAGCTTAGCTTTGCCTTGAAATAAATGAGTTGAATAGAACTGGTGTAATCTTCGTTTATTTAGATACTTGTCCTGTTTATTTTGTGCAGATGTTCTCAAATATTTCTTTGAAACTTCTTCACCCCTTTTCAGGAATTAAATGGGTTTGCTAGCTGTATCAAGGAAAGAGGCCCAGTTAAACCCAGTTTTGAAATGCTGAGTTTATCCTGCTGAGTGGTGAGAAGAATTTTCCTGAGAAGGTTCCCCTGGTAGGAAGCTGTTCTCCCTTGCTGTACACAAAGAGCTGTTTCACAGGGATGCTAAAACTGAATATTATGTTGTTAGGACTCAGATTTCCCATTATATCACTAGATGATTTGCTTTTGAGTTTCCGAGCAGTGGGAAACAGGAAATAACAGTAGAAGAAATAATCAAAAGTTCATTGGCTTCAAAATCAAAGATTTACTTCGGCTTAAACTAGAAAGTTTGTCTTCTGAACATTTAAATGCTTGGAGCTATTTGTACTTGATGAAAATACATAGTTGAAAATGTTGCCTGTTTTTGGGTGAGTTTCTTCTTTAAACTTTCAAGTTTCAGGAAGTGATGGCATCACAATTGTTAATTATTTGGTAGACTGACTTATTTGCAACAAACAAGTTGTTAGTGGCCCTTGTTCATGTGTTCGTGACTACTGTGCTATATGGACTGTTCTGTAAAAATCTGAACACTATCTGCTATCTGTTCGTTTGAGTTAGGAACAGAATGGCTGGGGCAGAACCATATTTAGCAGGTGAGCTGCATTAGTATCTAAATTATTAGAAAGTGTCTTCATCTATAATTGTGGCTTTTCCACAGCTAGTAGGTGTTTTCTTGTGTTAACTGGGGTATCAACTGTAAACCTAAGTTATTGTAGGATTTTTTAAAGAGTTGTGAAAACCAGTAGCATTAGGTACTCTACCAACATTGATTCAAAAAAAAAAAAAAAAGCCCTAGTTGAAGAGTTTGTGGTTAACAGGAGTAGAAAAGTGGAGAGTGCGTATTTAAATGCCAACCTGCGGAAGCAAAGGTTAGATGATGGTTTACTTTAGATTGGGATTGTACTAAGTCCTAAAAGGATTGGCTATTTATTTGGTAGCTATCTCATTTGAAAATTCTCAAGGCCAGGAAAAGTTTTACAGGTTCAGATGTTACTTTGTCTTCTTGTTAGGTGCTGTCGAGTTAGTTCCAACCTATAGCAACCCCTTTGTACAACAGAATGAAACACTGCCCAGTCCTGAGCCATCCTCACGATCCTTGTTAAACTTGAGCCCATTGTTGCAGCCACTGTGTCAGTCCATCTTGTTGAGGGTCTTCCTCTTTTTTGCTGACCCTTTACTTTACCAAGCATGATGTTCTCCAGGGACTGCTCCTCCTGATAATACGTCCAAAGTATGTGAGACAAAGTCTCACAGTCCTCACTGTTGAGCATTCTGGCTGTACTTCTTCCAGGATAGATTTGTTTATTCTTTGGGCAGTCCATGGTATATTCAGTGTACTTCGCCAACGCCATAATTCAAGGCATCAGTTCTTCGGTCTTCCTTATTCATTGTCCAGTTTTTGCATGATATGAGGTGATTGAAAACACCATGGCTTGGGTCAGGCACACCTTAGTCTTCAAGGTGACATTTTCACTTTTCAACACTTTAAAGCGGTCTTTTGCAGCAGATTTGCCCAATGCAATGCTTCTTTTGATTTCTTGACTGCTCCTTCCGTGAGTGTTTGATTGTGGATGCAAGTAAAATGAAATCCTTGACAACTTCAGTCTTTTCTCCGTTTATCATAATGTTGCTTATTGGTCCAGTTGTGAGCATTTTTGTTTTCTTTATGTTGAGGTGTAATCCATGCTGAAGGCTGTGGTCTTTGATGAAGATCGAAGACTTTGTCTTGGTGCTATTCAATTTCCATCTTACGGGCTTCCAGTTTCAGTGCAGCTGACCCAGGTAGTTTCAATCAGCACATTATATATTTTGCAATTAAGGGAATGTGACTATAAGCCACAAGCATATTGTGATTTAGGCGGATTATCCTGCAAACATAAAGATCTTAATTTTATTCTGGAGGACAAAGTGCTTTCATAATATGTTGACTGATATTTTAGTCATCTGTAACAATAGTTGAGAGCCATGGCTTGAGAATAAAAGCTCCGTGTTAATTCTTGGGAGTCCAAAAAGAGAAGAGGGTTTTTGCCTTTAGGACTTCATAGTCTGAGGAGGCAGGGTGTGTGCAGCAAAATATAACTAGCGATGCCAAGTACCACTCGTAATGAGGATCTTGGTACTTGCTCTTCCCCTGCTGAAGTACTCTTAAACTGCAGAGAAACCCTCATGGTTGCTGCTCAGTTGGCACCTTCCTTGTAAGATCTTCCCTGACTGTTTATTTAACAGCACACATCCCTCCCCTGCATCGTTTATCCTCCTTCCCTGCTTTATAGTCTCCATAGCACCTATTGGCATCTGAGATAAAGCTTATTTTTCAGTCTCCTCTCACTAGAATGTAAACTATGTGAGGACAGGGAATTTTTTTGTTTACTACTTTATCACCAGGGTATAAAACAGTACCCTGGTATGTGGTATACAGTCACTAAGTAGTATACGAAAGACTGGATAGGCGGAAAAGACGTTTCAGGAAAGAAACTTGGAGGGAACGATAGGATCTAGGCTTGCTTAGCAAGGAGGAAGAAGGCCCGAGGGATCCCAGGTAGGGGGCAAAATCATGAACAATTTACCTGCTATAATCTTAGAACTGATTTCGTTTAAGCACTGTCCACGACTGGTTTAAAACCATTTTTAAGGTATTTTAGTACTATTATTGTACAAGTCAAACTGTTTTAAAAATTACCGTTCCGGCATATTACCTGTGCTGCTGTGCTGTATTGTATCCACACCTCCATTGTGATGTCATCAGGTCACCTCAGGTGAAGGACAGGGCTCTAGCCATCTCATAAATATATGGTTAGATTTTTAATACTTTTGTGTTGCTTCTTTGTGTGAGTTGACACAGGTATGCTTTATTAAGCTTGTTGGTTTTCGGTCACAGGTTGGGAGAAGGTAAAAAATTGTAATGGCCTTACGTTTCAATTGTGAAACTTAGAATTTATAGTGAAACTTAGAATGTATACCCACTATTCAGGTTAAGAGATAGAACATAGAGGCCGCTTGTGGGTCCAATCCCCAGTTTCATCCTACTCAGGTAACTCTTCTGTACTATTCAGACTATTAATAATTTGCTTTTTTTTTTTACCACCTCATCACGTAAACAATGTCTTATTTAGTTTTGAACAACAGAAACAAGCACAAACCTAGCTCTATGGGGGCAATATTTGCTAGCATTAGATGAAGGTGCCCAGGAGAAGATAAGCTGAACAGTCTGGGTCATAGTCTGACTACCGCTTGTAGAGTATGAGAGCCCTGTGTGGAGATGTCAGTGAGGCAAGGTGATGAGTGAGTCCTGGGAAACAAGTCACCACAGTTGGGGCATCCTGGATCTCCTGCAGAAATTACTCAAGAGGTTGTGTGCTTGTTTTCTATTTTCTGCTCTTACACTCACTGTGGTTTACCTCCATCTTTCAAGATAAATGTAGAATCTTCCTGTGGGGTGAGTTGAGTATCCTCAACTAATCTAGACATCAGGATGTGAAAGGGAGAGCAGGAACTTCACTGGGACACAGTCAAGCCAAGCATAGAATTTGGGCATACTATCAGCTTACAAAGGAAGTGGATATCGTAGTTGTGATAGCCCTCAACATGTCTATCTTGAGTCACACACACCTCCAGTCTGGACTGGTTGCACTCTAGTTCTGGTGCTTAGTTCTCATCCTGGGAATACCCTTCTCTCCTTTCTGTGCTGAATTGTCTCTTTGCGTGTGCGTGTGTGTGTGTGTGTGTGTGTGTAGCACATTCTCTAGAAATTCTCATTTAGACACAACAATTGAGAGCTTGCGTGTCTGAAAACGTCTTATTCTACTCATTTGATTGGATAGGTTGGCTAAGTATGGAATCCTAGATTGTAGACTATTTTCCCTCAGAATTTTAAAGGCTTTGTTGCCTTCATTTCCATTTTTCGCCGTTTGGAAATCCAAAGTCAGAAATTCTGATTCCTGATACTTTGCATGTAACTGATTTTTCCTCTGCAAGTCTGTAGAATCTGTCTTCAGCGTATTTCACAACGTTATTCCTTGTAGTTCTATTTTCATCGACACTGGGCCCTTTCAACCAGGAAGTTCAGGTTATTTCTCGGCAACATTTTAAAATTTATTTCCTTGTTGCATTTTCTCCTTTTTTCTCTTGAACTGTTACGTGGAATAGGGCCTTCTGGACTGGCACTGTAATTTGCTTATGTTTTGCTCCGATTTTTATGCCACTTCACTTTTCGGATGATTTCTCTCATTTTATTTTCCAAACTCTATTGAATATTTCATTTTGCTTATACAGCTTTTAACTTCCAAGAACTTTTCCTATAAGTTGCTTTTTTGTTTTAGGCTTACGTGTTAGAGGCTTTCCTCGGATCTTTTGAAACTCTCATCTGTTTGCTCATGATTAAGACTGGAGGAAGAAAACACTGAAAGTTCTGAATAGGTCACTGACATTTGATGACTTGGAGCTTTACTATAGGGTGGTCTGAGTGGGCTGTTTGTTGGGGAATCTCCCATTGTCAGTAGCTTTAGGTATTTTCATATGGACTGTTTAGAGTCCCAGGGAAGTTTTCTTTCTGCCTTGAGAGCAAAGAGTCTGGCAGAATGACGATGCAGGAGATTAATCAGAGTAAGCTCCCTGTTTTTTTATATAGTACGCATGCCTTTAGCTGTGCTTGTTGTTGACCAATACACACACTTCCCCTTTTAATCCTTTCCAGAGAGGACTTCTGCTAGAGTAGGGGAAAGGCAGTCAGCCAGGGTCAGGAAGTGGGACAGGGAATCTAGGAATCTTAAAACTTCTTTTCATGGTTCTCCATATTTTAGCATATATTTTTCTACCATCAGATCTTCATTATATGCTACCTCCTGAAATACTCAAACATTGACCAATTCTTTTTGGTACAGTGACTCTATATTCCTTCCATCTTCTTTTGATGCTTCCTGTGTTATTCAGGAAAGCCTGGTGGCATAGTGGTTAAGTACTACGGCTGCTAACCAAAAGGTCGGCAGTTCGAATCCACCAGGTGCTCCTTGAAAACTATAAGGCAGTCCTGCACTGTCCTATAGGGCCTTTATGAGAATCGACTTGAAAGCAACGGGTTTGTTTTTTTGCGTTATTCAATACTTTGCCCATAGAATTCCTTCAGTATGCAACTCAAGGCTTGTATTTTACTTTCAGCTTGAGAAATACCAAGTGTGTTCTTCTCTATGATTTTCTAACTCCAGATGTTTGCACATTTCATCATAGTACTTTGTCTTTTCAAGCTACACCTTGAAATCTTCTGCTCAGCTCTTTTACTTAATCATTTCTTCCATTCGCTTTAGCTGCTGTATGTTCAAGAACAAGTTTCAGAGTCCCTTTTGACATCCACTTTGGTCTTCCTTTCCTGTCTCTTTAATGACTTTTTGCTTTCTTCATGTATGATGTCCTTGATGTCATCCCACAACTCGTCTGATCTTCAGTCATTAGTACATCAAATTGATTCTTGAGATGGTCTCTTAAATTCAGGTGGCATATACTCCAGGTTGTATGTTGGCTTTCATGGACTTGTTCTGATGTTCTTCAGTTTCAACTTGAACTTCCATAGGAGCAATTGATGGTCTGTTCCACAGTTGGCTCCTGGCCTTGTTCTGCCTGATAACAAGCCTCTCCATCGTCTCTTTTCACAGATGTAGTTGATTTGATTCCTGTGTATTGCATCTGATGAGGTTCACATGTATAGTCGCTGTTTATGTTGTTGAGAAAAGGGATTTGAAATGAATAAGTACTTGGACTTGCAAAATTCCATCATGTGATCTCCAGCATCGTTTCTATCACTGAGGCCATGTTTTCCAACTACCAATCCTTCTTCATTTCCAGCTTTCGCATTCCAATCACCAATAATTATCAATACATTTTAATTAAATATTTGATCAATTTCACACTGCAGAAGTTGGTAAAAATCTTCCATCCTTTCATCTTTGGCATTAGTGGTTGGTACATAAATTTGAATAATAGTCATATTAGCTGGTCTTCCTTATAGACTTAGGAATAATCGATCGTTGACAGCATTGTACTTCAGGATAGATCTTGAAATGTTCTTTTTCATGATGAATGTAATGCCATTCCTCTTCAATTTCTCATTCCGACCATAGTAGACCATATGATTGTCTGATTCAAGATTTCCAATACCAGTCCATTTCGGTTCACTAATGCCTAGGATATCGATCTTTATGCGTTCCATTTCATTTTTGATGACTTCCAGTTTTCCTAGATTCATACTTTATACATTCCATGTTCCTGTTATTAGTGGATGTTACAGCTGTTTCTTCTCATTTTGAGTTGTGCCGTACCAGCAAATGAAGATACTGAAAGGTTTACTCCATCCACTTAATTAAGGTTGACTCTACTTTGAGGAGGCAGCTCTCCCCCAGTCGTATTTTGAGCACCTTCCAACCTGAGGGGTTCGTCTTCTGGCACTATATCAGACAATGTACTGCTGCTATTCATAAGGTTTTCACTGGCCAATTTTTTTTAAAAAGTAGACTACCAGGTCCTCCTTCCTGGTCTTAGTCTGGAAGCTCTGCTGAAACATGTCTATCACGGGTGACCCTGCTGGTATTTGAAATACCAATGGCATAGCTTCCAACATCATAGCAGCACACAAACCACCACATTACAAGAAACTGACAGATGATGGTATTGAAGGAAGAAGTCAAATTTGCACTGAAAGCATTGGCAAAAAACAAGGCTCTGAGAATTGACAGAATACCAATTCAGATGTTTCAACAAACGTATGCAGTGCTGGAGGTACTCATCTATGCCAAGAAATTTGGAAGATAGCTACCTGGCCAACCAACTAGAAGAGATCCATATTTATGCCCATTCCAAAGAAAGATGATCCAACAGAATGCAGAAATTATTGAGCAATATCATTAATATCACATGCAAGTAAAATTTTGCTGAAGAAAATTCAAAAGTGGTTGCAGAAAAGTACATCAACAGAACTGCCAGAAATTTCAAGACAGACTGAGAAGTATACGTGGAATGAGAGAGATCATTACTGATGTCAGGTGGATCTTGGCTGAATGCAGAGAACATCAGGAAGATGTTTACCTGTGTTTTATTGTTTATGCAAGGCATTCGACTGTGTACATCATAACAAATTATGGATAACATTGTGAAGAATGGGAATTCCAGAACACTTAATGGTGCTCACAAGGAACCTGTACATAGATCAAGAGGCAGGCATTCGGCCAAAACAAGGGGATACTGCATGGTTTAAAGTCTGGAAACATGTGGATCAGGCTTGTATCCTTTCACCATATTTATTCAATCTGTATGCTGAACAAATAATCCAAGAAGCTGGACTATATGAAGAAGAACATAGCATCAGGATTGGAGGAAGACTCATTAATAACCTGAGATATGCAGATGACACAACCTTGCTTGCTGAAAGTGAAGAGGACTTGAAGCACTTACTAATGAAGATCAAAGACCACAGCCTTCAGTATGGATTACACCTCGACATAAAGAAAACAAAAATCCTCCCAACTGGACCAATAAGCAACATTATGATAAACGGAGAAAGATTGAAGTTGCCAAGGATTTCATTTTGCATCCACAATCAAACACTCATGGAAGCAGCAGTCAAGAAATCAAAAGAAGCATTGCATTGGGCAAATCTGCTGCAAAAGACCTCTTTAAAGTGTTGAAAAGCAAAAGTGTCACCTTGAAGACTAAGGTGTGCCTGACCCAAGCCATGGTATTTTCATTCACCTCATATGCATATGAAAGCTGGACAATGAATAAGACCAAAGAAGAATCGATGCCTTTGAATTGTTATGTTGGTGAAGAATATTGAATATACCATGGACTGCCAGAAGAACAAACAAATCTATCTTGGAAGAAGTACAACCAGAATGCTCCTTAGAAGCAAGGATTGCAAGACTACGTCTCACATACTTTGGACATATTATCAGGAGGGATCAGTCCCTGGAGAAGGACATCATGCTTGGTAAAGTAGAGGGTCAGCAAAAAAGAATACCCTCAACGAAATGGATTGACGCAGTGGCTGCAACAACGGGCTCAAGCATAGCAACCATTGTGAGGATGGGGCAGGACCAGGCAGTGTTTCCTTCTGTTGTACTCTCTATGAGTCAGAACCAACTTGACGGCAGCTAACAACAATAACATTCTTGTGCAGGGATCAGCAACCTTTTTCTGTAAAAGGCCAAATAGTAAAATTTTTGGCCTTGAAGGCCATATGGTCTGTCAAAACTAAACTCTGCCATTGTATGAAAGCAGCATAGATAGTACAAATGAGCATGGCTGTGTTCTAATAAAGCTTTATTTATAAAAATATGCAGCCCCAAATTTGGCCTACTGACCATAGTTTGCTGACTCCTAGTTTTTTGGTTTTGCTTTTTTAAGCTCTTTGAGATTATAGTTTCACAGAAAGTTGCAAAAATAATAGATCCCGTGTACATCTTACATCACAATTAAAAAAAAAAACAAAAAACCATTGCTGTTGAGTCAATTCCAAGTCACAGTGACCCCTATAGGACAGAGTAGAACTGCCCCATAGGGTTTTCAAGGAATAGCTAGTGGATTCAAACTGCCAACTTTCTGGTTAGCAGCCGAGCTGTTAACCACTGTGCCACCAGGGCTTCTACATCACAATAGTACCATGTTAAAAACCAGGGAATTAACATCAGTACAATATGCATTTATAATTCTATGATATTTTATCATGTGTATAACCACCACCACAATCAGGACACAACTATTCTATCGCTCAAAGATCTTCCTTGTTCTGCCCTGTACAGTCATGAAAACCTTCCTCCTGCCACCATCTCTGATCCTTTGCAATCACTAATTTGTTTTCCATCCTTACAATTTTGTCATTTTGAGAATGTTATACAAATGGAATCACACAATATGTGACCTTCGGAGAGATTGGCTTTCTTTACTCAGCACAATGCCCTTGAGAGCCATCCAGGTTATTTGGTGAATCAACAGTTTGCTCCTTTTTATTGCTGAGAAGTATTTCATGGTATGGATGTACTACAGTTAAGCATTTGCCTATTGAGGGACATTTTGGTTGTTTCAAAGGGATTCTTTTAAAGTTTTAGGAATCAACATATTCCATGTGACAGAGCATATGGTAACAGACACTGTAGAGATGACCTCATTGTCTCCATGTTTGATTCTGCTAAATTGGAATTCTGAAAAAGAAAGTTTCATATTACTTCCTTTTGATTTATCGAGTTGAGCATGTACAGATTAGAACAGCAGTTGGAAGACAGATGACAGAGAACATTTTATATTAGGTTAATAACCTGGGCTTACTCTGCAAGCAAGGGAGGAATGAAGGATACAAGGGGAAGAACATAAAGCCGTGGTTTAGGAAGATTAAACCTCTCTTATAGTCCTCTCTATACGCAAGCTTCCATGTTGATTTAAAAGCTACTGCTGGTTCAGAATGTGATAGGGGGAACGTCGGTTTCCTGGTATTCAACTGAATCATAACTGTTTAAAATTACATTATTTTAAACTCCTTAAATTCATCAAGACTCACTGATTGAAACCAAAGGTCATTGATCCTCCACAGACCTCCAGTTGCTCTGCAGGTTAGTATTAGTATTTATATCTACATTTATCTAAAGGTGTCCTGGTGGCACAGTGGTTAAGCGCTCAGCTGCTAATTGAAAGGTCGGCGGTTCAAACCCACGGTAGCTCTGCAGGAGAAAGAGATGGCAGTATGCTTCAGTAAAGATTACAGCCTTGGAAACCCTATGGGGCAGTTCTACTCTGTCCTATAGGGTCGCTACAAGTCAGAATGGACAGCAACAGGTTTGGTTTGGTTTTTGGTATATTTATCTAAATCTGTATATTTGTAGTGATGGTTGAATGAATAGTCTTAATACTTAAATAGTCTCAGTGTTATGCTTACTAAAAAGCCTTGGTGTCACAGTGGTTAATCGCTCGAGTGCTAACTGAAAGGTCGGTGGTTTCCAACCCACCAGCCACTTCGAAGGAGAAAGACGTTGCAATCTGCTTCTGTAAAGATCATAGCCTTGGAAACCTATGGGGCACTTCTATTCTGTCCTATAGGATCTCTGTGAGTGGAATCGACTCCATGGCAATGGGTTCGGCTTAGTGCCTGTGGTTTTGGAGAAGTCACTTAACCTTGAGCCTCAGTTTCTTCATCTATAAAATAACAATAACGCTGATCACTGTCTCACAGGGTTGCTGTGAGGAGCAAATGAGATAATATAGGAAAAGTTTTCGAAGAACAGGAAAGTACTATACAAAGGTTACTGTAATATTCATAAAAATAATCTGTTATTTAAGAAAAAGAGGCAACTGTTTTATAATTAGGTTGAGTAGATTTTATTAACAAGTGGGAGGTTGGGATATCCTTGCTGAAAAAATTTTAAGACCCAGCTTTACAGTCAGAAGTCCAAAAAACAGGGAAGGCATTTCTCTGTGTTGTGATTGGTTGACCTATGATTGATGTTGTGATCGATATTGCAAAATACCATATTAGCTTCTCTGTCTGGCTTATCATCATCTTCTTGACCCTTAAATATAGAGTTCTCTAAGGATCTCCCCAGTACTTCTCTTTCCATGACCTCTTCGTTGGTAGTAACTTTTGAAGTAAAATGCGTTAATTCTTCAAAGTCTAAATCTGTTTCTTTGGCCCTGCCAGCTGATAAAACTCAACCTCAAGCTTCAAAGCTGAGGTCATTTTTCTTCAGAAGATGGCCCTGCTTTTTGAGTTCCCTGTTTATGTTCACAGCCTACAATTATCTTAGTCCTGCTGATGAAAGTGAGCATAGTCCTTAGGTGTTCTTCTCTCGTTGTCCCCCCAGACCCTTTCCCCACAAATCTAGTCACGTTGCCAGTTCTTTGACCACAGTATCTCCTATTTCCTCTCTCCATTTCAGGCCTACAACATTAGCTTCTTAGCTAAACTCTCCCTCCCCATCTCACCTCCCTTCATTCATCTCTTCCTCACCTCTGTCACATTAATCTTCCTAAGCCACAGCTCTGTTTATATTCTTCCCACTTGTGTCCTTCATAGCCCCTTGCTTGTAGAATAAGTCCAGGTTATTAATTGAATATAAAATGTTCTCTCTGAACTGTCCTCAGATTGCTATTCTAATCTGTACATGCTCAACTCTAGATAAACCGGAAGGAAGTAATATGAAATGAAACTTTTTTTTTCTGAATTCCATAATGTTTTACTTTTCTCATGACACTTTCCTACCATAAAGTTATTTATGTACATGCTTCCTCTCCTTTACTATGCTGTACCCAAGTACGGTTTCTCTCAATATTTCCACAGTCATGCATACAGCAGATACCTAATTATTTATCGAAGGAATGATTGGACCTATAGTAGAAGCTCAACTCTTGTTTGGCCCACACATTCAACAAGCACCTTACCATGGGCCAGGCAGTTTGAGGCACTGGGGATATAGAAGACACAGTCTCAGCCTCTACATTCTACTAGGAATCCCAAAGATGTTACCATTGGGTTATTTGTGACTTTATTCTAAGGTTATACTAAGGTATCAACTTCGTACTTAAGTCTAAAGCAAAGCTACGAGGCGCTTAGTTTAAGAATATAGTAAGTATTAAATCAAATAATTATACTCTGGTTGTCTGAAGAATATGGAATTCACTCGTTTAGTGACATGTGACATTAGGAAATGAAAACACAGGTGAGTTTACAGAGGATCTTCCTAAGAGGAGGAAGTAGTTGGCAGGAAGGGAAAAGCAGGGTGTGAGGATGTCAAACTATAGAGGTCTCTTCCAGTCAGTCATTTCTGCCCTAGCAGGCAATCCTGTGACACTAACATAATGTGCTCTTGAATCTTCTGCAGATGGCAATCAGAAACTATTTCCCTGTGAAGTCTGTGAAAGACGCTTTGCAGCAGATGTTCTGGTAAACATAGACGTTTTGTGGACGTTTTTCATTGGAGTTAAATGAACTGGAAAGTCAGTAAGGAGGCAGCGGCGGCAAAGATTAAAGACAGATGTGGAGGGAAAGCAAGGGAAGGGGAAAAGTGCATAACCTATGGCTGGTAGGCCCAGCAGACACGGAAGCAGATTGATGCCACCTCATTCAAAAGAATGCTGATTAAACACGGTCCTCTTACTAAAAGGAGGCCAGATGGTAGTGTCTTGGCACAGCCAATGGTCCCTTAAGAGGTTTTGGCTCTTTGGCCTTTCATATAAGCATTCTGACTCATAGTGAGCAATGTCAAGGCCAAAGCACAGGGAAATTAATGAGTCAAGAGAGATGAGCATTGGGTTTTGGGTATCTGGAAATTTGGCATTTAGCCGCAACTTGGTCACTAATTTTCACAAGTCCTTTAGCCTTCCCCTGTTTTCTGTTCTGCCATGTATAAAGGCAGATACCTCCCATTTCAGGGTTTTGATACAATTTGAACAAAAAAATACATGAATACAAGACCTTTTCTGAGGTCTAATTGTTACCCAGATTCAAGCTTGCTACATTGCTGCATGTCAAGTCCCCTGATAGATGGCTATAATGTGGAAGTAGAAGTTTGATTTATTTCAGTGTTAGAGAATAAAACATGTATTAGGCCTCAACAAAATAAAGAGATTCCCAGGGAAGATGATAAAGTCTAAGATGATAATCAATTTTTAGTTGAGATATTTTAGATCAGAAGACTTACGTTGACTTAAGGAATTTTGACTATTAGCCTTACCTTAGAACGTTGAGACAGTGCTGGAAGATGAGTCCCTCAGGTTGGAAGGCACTCAAACGATGACTGGGGAAGAGCTGCTTCCTCAAAGTAGAGTCGACCTTAATGATGTGGATAGAGTCAAGCTTTTGGGATCTTCATTTGCTGAGGTGGCACAACTGAAAATGAGAAGAAACAGCTGCAAACATCCGTTAATAATCAGAACACGGAATGTACAAAGTTTGGATCTAGGAAAATTGGAAATCATCAAAAATGAAATGGAATGCATAAATGTCAATATCCTAGGCATTAGTGAGTTGAAATGGACTGGTATTGGGCATTTTGAATCAGACAATCATATGGTCTACTATGCTGGGAATGACAAATTGAAGAGGAATGGCGTTGTGTTCATTGTCAAAAAGAGCATTTCAAGATCTATCCTGAAATACAGTACTGTCAGTGATAGGACAATATCCATACGCCTACAAGGAAGACCAGTTAATACGACTGTTATTCAAATTTACACACCAACCACTAAGGCACAGATGAAGAAATTGAAGATTTTTACCAACTTCTGCAGTCTGAAATTGATCAAATATGCAATCAAGATAATTGATAATTACTGGTGATTGGAATGTCAAAGTTGGAAAGGAAGAAGGATTGGTAGTTAGAAAATATGGCCTTAGTGATAGAAATGATGCCAGAGATGGCATGATAGAATTTTGCAAGACCCAACAATTTCTTCATTACAAATACCTTTTTTCAACAACATAAACGGTGACTATACATGTGGACCTCGCCAGATGGAATACACAGGAATCAAATGGACTACATCTGTGGAAGGAGAGGATGGAAAAGCTCAATATTATCAGTCAGAACAAGGCCAGGGGCTGACTGTGAACAGATCATCAGTTGCTCATATGCAAGTTCAAGTTGAAGAAAGTTAAAACAAGTCCACAAGAGCCAAAGTACGACCTTGAATATATCCCGCCTGAATTTAAAGACCATCTCAAGAACAGATTTGATGCATTGAGCACTAATGACCAAAGACCAGACAAACTGTGGAATGACATCAAGGACATCACACATTAAGAAAGCAAGAGGTCATTAAAAAGTCAGGAAAGAAAGACCAAAATGGATGTCAGAAGAGACTTTGAAACTTGCTCTTGAACATCGAGTAGCTAAAGTGAAAGGAAGAAATGAGGGAGAAGATTTTAAAGGGCAGCTCAAGAAGACAAAGTAAAGTTTTATAATGAAATGTGCAAAAACCTGGAGTTAGAAAACCAAAAGGAAAGAACATGCTCAGCATTTCTCAAGCTGAAAGAACTGAAGAAAAAATTCAAGCCTCGAGTTGCAATATTGAAGGGCTTATGGGGAAAATATCAAACAATGCAGGAAGCATCAAAAAAGATGGAAGGAATACACAGAATCACTATTCCAAAAAGAACCGGTCAGCATTCAACAATTTCAGGAGGTAGCATATGATCAAGAACTGATGGTACCTAAAAGAAGAAGTCCAAGCTGCATTGAAGGCACTGGGGAAAAACAAGGCTCCAGGAATTGATGGACTATCAATTGAGATGTTTCGACAAACGGATACAGTGCTAGAAGCGCTCACTTGTCTATGCCAAGGAATTTGGAAGATGGCTGCCTGGCCAACTACCTGGAAGAGATTCATATTTGTACCCATTCCAAAGGTGATCCAACAGAATGTGAAAATTATCAAACAATATCTTTGAAATCACCACAAATAAAATTTTGCTGAAGATCATTCAAAAGTGGTTGCAGCAGAATTTCAACAGGGATCTACCAGAAATTCAAGCTGGTTTCAGAAGAGGATGTGGAACAAAGGATATCACTGCTGATGTCAGATGGATACTGGCTGAAAGCATAAAATACCAGAAAGATGTTTACTTGTGTTTTATTAACTATGCAAAGGCATTTGACTGTGTGGATCATAACAAATTATGGATAACATTGCAAAGAATGGGAATTCCAGAACACAACACTTAATTGTGCTCATGCAGAACCTGTACAAGAGGCAGTCATTCCAAAAGAACAAGGGGATACTGCATGGTTTAAAGTCAGGAAAGGTGTGCATCAGGGTTGTATCCTTTCACCATACTCAGTCTATATGCTGAGCAAATAATCCAAGATACTGGACTGTAAAAAAAAGAATATGGCATCAGGATTGGAAAAAGACTCATAACAACCTGAAATACGCAGGTGACACAACCTTGCTTGCTGAAAGTGAAGAGGACTTGAAGCATTTACTGATGAACATCAAAGACCACAGCCTTTGGTATGGATTACACCTCAATTTAAAGAAACAAAAATCCTCACAGCTGGACCAATAAGTAACATCATGATAAATGGAAAAAATATTGAAGTTGTCAAGGATTTCATTTTACTTGGATCAACAATCAATGCCCATGGAAGCGGCAGTCAAGAAATCAAATGACACATTGAAAAATGTTCTGCATCCCACTTGGGTAAGTGGCGTCTGGGGTCTTAAAAGCTTGCAAGCGGCCATCTAAGTTGCATCAATTGGTCCCAACCCACCTGGAGCAAAGGAGAATGAAGAACACCAAAGACACAAGGAGAATATTAGCCAAAGAGACAAAAGGGCCACGTAAACCAGAGACTCCATCAGCCTGAAACCAGAAAGACTAGCTGGTGCCCCGTTACCACCAAAGATGCCCTGACGGAACACAACAGAGAGTCTTTGATGGAGCAGGAGAAAAGTGTGGAGCAGAACTCAAATTCACGTAAAAAGACCAGACTTAATGGTCTGACTGAGACTGGAGGAACCCCCGAAGCCATGGCCCCCAGATGTTCTGTTAACTGAGAACTAAAACCATTCCCAAAGCCCACTCTTCAGACAAAGATTAGACTGGACTATAAAACATAAAATAATACTTGGGAAGAGCATGCTTCTTAGTTCAAGCAGATACACAAGACCAAAAGGGCAGCCCCTGTCTGGAGGTAGGATGGGAGGGCAGGAAGGGACAGGAGCTGGTTGGATGGACACGGGAAGCCTGGGGTGGAAAGGGGGAGTGTGCTGTCACGTTATAGGGATTGTAGCTAGTATCACATAACAATACATGTGTGAATTTTTGTATGAGAAATTAACTTGAGCTGTAAACTTTCACCTAAAGCACAATTAAAAAAAAGAAAAGAGTAAATTAGAAAAAGAAATGACAGATTGCATTGGGCAAATCTGCTGCTGAAGATCTCTTTAAAGTGTTAAAAAGCAAAGATGTCACTTTAAGGACTAAGATACGCCTGACCCAAGCCATGATGTTTTCAGTTGCCTCATATGCATGTTAAAGCTGTACAATGAATAAGGAAGATCAAAGAAGAATTGATGCCTTTGAATTATGGTGCTGGTGAAGAATATTGAATATATCATGGACTTCCAGAAGAACAAACAAATATGTCTTGGAAGGACAGCCAAAAGGCTCATTAGAAGCAAGGATGGCAAGACTTCATCTCACATACTTTGGACATGTTATCAGGAGAGACCAGTCCCTGGAGAAGAATGTCATGCTTGGTAGAGTGTCAGTGAAAGAGAGGAAGACCCTCAATGACGTGAATTGACACAGTGGCTGCAACAATGGGTTCAAGCATAACAACAATTGTGAGGATGGTGCAGGACCAGGCAGTGTTTCGTTCTGTTGTATATATAGCCTCTATGAGTCGGAACCAACTCGATGGCACCTAACATCAACAACAACAGCCTTACTGTAATTATGGCAAAGACTGCAAAATGAGGTTGTAGGTTTTTATTTCCTTGGGGAATTTGAAAAACGAAATAATCTGATCATCTAATTAAATGAGGTTAGTGCTTCCTGAAGCTGGAGGAGGAGTTCGCAGGCTTTTTGTGCCCTGGTATCCACCAATGTGCTGCCTTTAATAAGCTGTCTTTGCTTTTGTCAGCCCTGGGGCTGCACCCCCTTAGAATGGGTTTGAGACCTAGGAGGTACCATCTGAAGAAGAATCACTAAATGTCAAGGGTGTCTTACATATTCTTGAGTTCCACTTCCTAGGCCTATTTCTAGCCAAGAGAGTGTTTGATCAAGTGATCTGATATCTCTCTGTCCTATAGTTTAAATGATAGGGTTTGTTATTAGCCAGGTGCAGTGATTTTTATAGAGCCTGTGTTTTATTGGGTCAGGACAAAGTAACCGTGTAAATGATAGCTATTATCTGTTTCAGACCCACCAGGGAAGAGTATCCAGATTGGAAAGCAGAGATATTGATATAATCCCATACTGGCATACTAACAGAATTTAGAAAGGGATACACGTAAATCCATGTGTTGGCTCCCCAGTTTTTGTACTAGAAATGCTGTGTACTTAAAGGACTACTGACTGGAGTAAAGAGAGCACTGCCCAAGTGGTAGAGTTAAATATACAAAGCCAAATTTTAAGTAAGACTCTTTACTGTAGAGGCCTTTCATTGTCCTTGCCCAAACACAAAATCGAGTGATACGTAACATGCATGAGGAAAGCCAAATGGATTTGCTCTGCTGGGACTTGAGAGTTAGAGAATGAAGTTGAAGTAGGCTCTGCAGGTGCAACCCTGCCACTGGGCAGTGGAGGCCATGTCAGTAGACCTGTACATTAAAAACCTTGTGATTGTGCATTTTTAAAATACCAACCCCTACTTACCTTTTCTAGGAAAGGCACGGACCAATATGTAGAAAACTCTTCAACAAGAAGCGTAAACCTTTCAATTCCCTGAAGCAAAGATTACAGGGCACTGACATCCCTACTGTGAGGAAGGTTCTTCAATCCAAGGTACTATTTCTGTCTTCCTTGTTCTTGTCAAGTTTTTAAGTACATTAAAGCCTGTTTCTAGGCTCTCTGTTTGGTATCATTATTGTTTGATAGTGAAATATAACATCATATAAGTATAATCCACCTTTACTGTTTTCTTTATAATCTTGCACACTTATATTTCCAAATGTATTTCAAATACTTTTTAGGCCTTGCAAAAAAGAGTCTTGTTTATATTGTCATTAAACCAAAAACCAAACCTGTTGCCGTTGAGTCTATTCTGACTAATAGCAACCCTATAGGACAGAGTAGAACTGCCCAATAGGATTTCCAAGGAGTTACAGGTGGATTCGAACTGCCAACCTTTTGGTTAGCAGCCAAGCACTTAACCGCTGTGCTACCAGGGCTCCATATTGTTATTAGAGTGTCACTAAATCTAGCAATTAACTTGCAGGAAGGTCACTTTTCATCTTACATTTAAGTCTTCCTTGGCAGTTTTGTAATTTTCTTTGTTTTTCTGATGTTTAATTTTCCCTTGATTACTGTGACTTGCAAATTTTTTATTGCTGTATTTTCCAAACCTCTTAAAGTATTTCTTTTGAAAAACAAATTTTCCCTTCTCTCCAAATTTCACAGTCCTGTTTCCTGTAAATTCAAATCCAAGCTTAAAAAAAAAAAAAAAAAACTAATGAAGAGGTGTATAGTCTAGGTTAGTATCGTTTGTTGGTTTTATTTCTTTACAGTCCCAACCTGTGAAGAAGTCTAACTGGAGACAACAACATGAAGACTTCATTAATGCCATTCGATCAGCAAAGCAGTGTACATTAGCCATTAAAGAAGGTCGGCCTCTCCCACCTCCACCCCCTCCGTCCATCAACCCAGGTGTGTGGCCATTTTGCTTTGCTTTTGACACTTTACTCTTAACCGATTGAGGCTATGCTTGACTTTGGGCCAAATCATCATGCCTGCTTTCCTCTTATGCACTCTAAAATCTACAATGACCATTGTATAAGAGCAATTTTATCATAAAATTTATCTTATCCTAACTTCTTTTAATTCTGCATAAAGATTCTGTGTTTCCTTTGAATTCTGCCTCACAATGAGACTGTAAATCTCAGAGAACACTCCTGTACCCAGTGCTGTGCATTACATAACTCGAGGGGAGGGACACAATTCACATCATATTTTTATGGGGACGGAGCTTTCTAAGCAGTTCTACAGTAGCTCTGTAGGGTCAGATACTCACGGCTTTTTTTTTTTTTTTAGGTAAAATTTACATAACATAAAATTTACTGTTTTAAATATTTTAAGGTATTAATTCAATAGCCTTTTTTACCCCAAATTCTTCACTTTGAAAAATTTCAAGCCTACAAAAAAGCGAGAGCAATAGTACAGTGAACACTCATATGCTTTCTACCGAAATTCAAGAATTGTTGACATTGTTGCTGTATTTTCTGCCTTTTTCTCTCTATTTTTAGAAGAACCACTTTAAAAGTAAGTTGTAGCCATCATAACGTTTTACCCTGAATTGTTTCAGTCTGTATACCTTAAGCATAAGTATATTTTCTTGCAAACCACAATATTATCATCACACTTAATAGATAGGTCCATATACATATCTTCTCAGTTAAGAATGACTTTTGAACATGTATAGAACACTCCAGCCAGCAACAGCAGAACGCACATTCTTCTCCAATGTACATGCATCATTCTTCGGAATAGAACATGCATTAGATCACAAAATAAGTCTCAATAAACTTACAAAGACTGAAATCATACAAAGTATACTCCCCAACCACAATGGAATGAAACTAGAATTCAATAACAGAAGAAAAAGTGGAAAATTCACAAATATGTGAAATTAATACACTAGTAAATAACCAATAAGTCAAAGAAGAAATCACAAGAGAAATTAGGAAATACTTAGAGAAGAATGAATATAAAAACACAACATACCAAAACTTACAGATGCAGTGAAGGCAGTGCTCAGGGAGAATTTTATAGCTATAAATGCCTACATTAAAGAAGAAGAAAGATCTCAAATCAATAACCTAACTTTACACCTTGAACTAGAAAAAGAAGAGCAAACTAAACCCAAAACTAGTGAAAGGAAGGAAATAAGATTGAGAGTCCAGGAAAAAGCCCATAGATCTATGGCCAATTGATTTTAGACAAGGATGCCAAGTCCACCAGTGGAGAAAGAATAGACTCTTCAACAAACAGTGGTGGGGTTTCCACATGCAGAAGAATAAAGTTGGACCCCTACCTCACACCATATATGAAAATTAACTCAAAATACAACAATAAACTAAATATAAGACCTAAAACTGTAAAACACGTAGAAGAAAACATAGAGGTAAATCTTTAGGACCTTATATTTGGCAATGGATTCTTATATATGACAGCAAAGGCACAAGCAACAAAAGAAAAAAATACATCAATTTGGACTTCATCAAAATTAAAAACTTTCATGCATCAAAGAACATTATCAAGAAAGTGAAAAGACAACCTATAGAATATTTGGAAATCATATATCTAATAGGGGTTTAATATTCAGTATATGTAAAGAACTTATTACTATAACTCAACAACAGCAACAAAAAAAGACAGCCTAATTAAAATATGGACAAAGGACTTGAATAACCATTTCTCCAAAGAAGATATACAAATGGCCAATGAATTCATGAGAAGATGCTCAACATCATTCATCATTGTTGCTGAGTGCTGTCAAGTCAATTCTGACTCATAGTGACCTCATATGACAGAACTACTGCATAGGGTTTTCCTGGGTGTAATCTTTATGAAAACAGGTCACCAGGTCTTTCTCCCACAGAGCCACTGGGTAGGTTTGAACTGCCCACTTTTTGATTAGCAGCTGAGCGCTTAACCATTGTGCCACCAGGACTCCTTTATTTGTTATTAGAGAGTACTATAGTGTCACTGTGAGTCAGAATCAACTTGAGGGCACACACCAACAACCTATGTCCCTAACAGTTTACATACTTGAGTTGATTGAAACATTTTTTGTTCTTCTCAATTGGACAGAAGAGTATCATCCTATCTTCTGAGGCATATTATTTTGGGCATTTCTATACAAAGACCCAGACAGGTCTAATGGTGACAAATTACCTCAATTTTTGTTTGTCTTAGAAAATCTTTATTTCTCCATCACTTTTGAAGGATAATTTTGCTGGGTACAGAATTCTAGGCTGGTGGTTTTTTCTTTCAAAACTTAAATATTTTAGTCCACTCTTCTTCCTTGCATGGTTTCTGAAGAGAAATCCAATATAATTCTTATCCATGTTCTTCTACTGGTAAAATTTTTTTTCCTTCTTTCAAGATTTTCTCTTTGTCTTTGATTTTCTTCAGTTTGAATATGATATGCCTAGGTGTAGATTTTGAGGTATTTGTCCTCCTTTGTATTCTCTGAGCTTCCTGGATATATGGTTTAGTGTCAACAATTCTGAAAAATTCTTAGCTATTACTAGAAATATTTCTTTGATTGCTTTTTCCCTTTTTTCTCCTTCTGGTATTACACATATGCTATACCTTTTGTAATTTTCTCACAGTTCTTGGATATTCTGTTTCTTTTGTTCAGTCTTTTTTTGCTTTGCTTTTCAGTTTGTAAGTTTCTATTGACGTACCTTCAAGTTCACTGATTTTTAGCCATGTCCAGTCTACTGATGAGCACATCAGAGGCATTTTTTATTTCTGTTACAATGTTTATTTCTCACATTTCCTTTTGATTCTTAGAGTTGTCATCTCTCTGCTTACAGCACCTTATCTGTTTTTCCTTGTCCAGTTTTTCCATCAGAGCCCTTAGCATATTAATCATAGTTATTTTAAATTTCTGGTCTGATAATTCCAAAACCTCTGCCATATCTGAGTCTGGTTCTGATCCTTGCCCTTCTCTTTAGCCTGGTTTTTTTCTTTTTCTTTTTTTGCCTTTCGGTATGCCTTGTTATTTTTGTGTTGAAAGCCAAACCGAACCAAACCAAACCCGTTGCTGTCTAGTCGATTCCAACTCATAGTGACCCAGACATGATCTATTGGATAAAAAGATCTGAGGTTTTTTTAGTAGTAGTCCCCTGTAAAGCTTCGTAGATGTTGATGTGGTGGTAAAGTGTGGGGGTAGGGGAAGCCTTCTATAATCCTATGATTAGGTCTTAGACTTTTAGTAAGCCTATGTCCCTGGGTTGTGACCTTCATAAATGGTTTTCAGCTTCTGGTTTTGTTTTCAGTCCTTAGGTGAACCAGGAAGGCTAAAGGGGGCCATGGTTGAGTATTTCCCTCCCTCCATGTCAAAGACTAGAAGAGGACTGGGGATGGATAATTTCTTTCCCCCATGTGGAATACTGGAGAGAGCTAGAGTTGGGTATTTTCTTCTTTCACATTTACACCCTGATAAAAGTCACATTAGTTCAGCTTTGGTAAAGTAGTTTTCCTGGGTAGCAGACCGTTGTTAAGGAGAACAGAGCACTGTTTAAAAATGATTACTTTTCCCCTCTCTTTGCCAGTAGCACAAGGAGATTTTTCACAGTGAGAACTTGGTGAGGCCCCTGAAGGTAAAACTCATGAAGGTGTAGCCTCCCCACAAGGCAGGACCACTAGGAGTTTTTTATCTCTTGAGCTAGTCCATCTCCAGCAATTAGTCAATACCCTCTAAGTATTCCTACCTGATGCTGGGTCCAATGGTGGCAGTTTCTGTCCCTGGTAAGCAGTGATTCTCTGTATCAGCCTGTCTGTCTCTTCAGTTTTTGGGCAGCAGTTTGACGTGTTACCTCAATTCTCAGATGGATCTAAGAAGAGTTGCTGATTTTCAGTTTTTCAGCTTTTGTTTTGATATGAAGATGGGAATGATGACTTCTAAGCTCTTTACATTCAACCAGAAGCCCCCCTAGCAAGTTTTCTTTGTTAAATGTGAGTTGACCAGTTGATTCTAAATTTTATATTGAGATTCAGAATATCTGGAATAGCCAAGATCATTTGAAAAAAAGTACATAATTGGAGGACTTACATTGCCTAATGTCAAGAAACCAGTTGCTGTCGAGTTGATTCCAACTGATGGTGACCCCATGTGTGTCAGAGAAGAATTGTGCTCCACAGGGTTTTCAATAGCTCATTTTTTGGAATTAGATTTCCAGAGCTTTCTTCTGAGGTATTTCTGGGTGAGCTCGAACCTCCAACCTTTTGGTTAGCAGCCCTGAGTGGAAAGTTTTTTGTACCACCCATGGACTCCACCAGCTATCGAGGCTACCTATAATGTTACAATAATCATGACAATGTGGTATTAGTATAAGAATAGATATATTAATTGACCAGAAGAGACTCTAGAAATACAACCCTGCCACAACCATCTATGGGCAATTGATTTTTTACAAAGATGCCAGGGTATTTTAGTGGGGAAAAGGATAGTATTAACAAGTGATGCTAGAACAATTGAGTATCCTTATGGGAAAAATGAACCTTGATTTTTATCTTATACTTTAGATAAAAATTAATTTGAAAAGGATTATCGACCCAAATATAAGTGCTATTCAAAAAAGAAAAGAAAATCTTTGATCTCAGGGTAAGCAAAGATTTCTTAGGCAGTTTATAAAATATACTAATAATTTAAAAATGAAATTGATAAATAAGGCTTTATGAAAATTAAAAACTTCAATTTTTGAGTGACATCATTAAGAGAATGCAAAGACGTCTGTCAGTGGATGAATGGATAAATAAAATATGGTACATATATATGATGGACTACTGATCTGCCAGAAAGAGAAATGAAGTCCTAATACATGCTACAGCATAGGTTGGAGCTTGAGGACATTATGCTGAGTGAAATAAGTCAATCACAAAAGGACAAATGTTGTACAACTTCACTTATATAAAAA